AAACTAAAAATTAACTATTTGATGATTGATCCTGCTATACCACTTCTAAGCATAAGTCTAAAAGAATGTAACTTGCCATATAAGAGATATAACTCTTCACTCATGTGTATAATATTACTATTTACAGTAGTCTAGTAAACAACTGAAAATTAAGAGAATATGGCATATGTACTGGAATAATATCCACAAAGAAAAATGAAATTATGTCATTTACAAAAAAATGGATGAAATTCAAAATCATCTTGAGACAATCTCCCTACATGCTCATGTGTAGAATTACATTTTTCTGTAATTATTTCAAAGTTTCATGTCTTAAAATATCTCTGCTCCATTTGGAATTGATTTTTTTTTTTACAGACCAAGTTAGGGATCTAGTTTGAATCTTCTACATGTGGATATCCAGTTTTCCAAGCACTCCAGCTTAAACAGACTGGTTTTTATTGTTGTTTGTTTTCCAATGTTTGTTTTGGCATCTTTGTCAAGAATCAAATGTCAGTACTTACATGGGCTTGTTTTTGGATCATCTATTTTATTGGTCTATTATTTGGTTTTATGCCAGTACTGCTTTTTGTTCTTCTTACTGTTGTTTCTATGACTATGTAGTGTAATTTTAAGTTCAATATAGAGATATCTCCAATATCACTCTTTTTTCCTTAGGATTATTTTGGCTATTTGGGTTCCTTTGCATTTCTGTACAGATTTTATGATTAGTTTTTTTGTGTGTGAAAATTTTCACTGCATATTTGATGGGATTTCATTGAGTTTGTGTATCCTTTTTGGTAGTATGGCTGTTCTAATAATATTCTCCTGATCCATGAACATTAGATGTCTTTTCATTATCTTAATATCATCTAGAATTTCTTCCATGTTTTATATTTTTCTCAGTAGGAGTCTTGAACATTTTTGTTGAGGTTATGTTTTGATGTTTCTTTTTATTTGAAACTTTAATGGATGTAATTGAATTCACTTCTATGAGTTTGCTTTTAAATATACAGAAAAACTAATTATTTTGACAGGATTTTTTGTGTATGTTTGTGTTGTTCCTGGAGCTTGAACTTTGGGCCTAAGCAATGTCCCTGAGCTGCTTTTTCACTCTAGGCAAGCACTTGTCCACTTGAGCCATAGTACCACTTCCAGGTTTTTTGAGTAGTTTATTGGAGATAAGAGTCTAATTGACTTTCCTGTCCCACTGGCTTTAAACTGTGATGCTTAGATTTCAGCATCCTGAACAGCTAGGATTACAGGCATGAACCACTGTCACCTGGCTTGTGATTTTTTTTTACTTGTATCTAATTATGTATTTAAATCATTTGTATTTTCTTATTTTTGGTAGATCCTTTGGTAGGTATTTCTTCCAGATTTTCCATTTTAAAGGAGCTTTCAATATATTCTATAATAATCTGGATTTTAAAAGTATCTGCTGTAATATCCTTTCACTTGCAGTTTTATTAATTTGGGCCTTTTCATTTGTTTCGTTTGCTTAAAGGAATGTCATTATTATTTCAAAGAAACAACTCTTTGTTTCATTTCTTTAATTTTAATTTAATTTTAATCCAATCTTTGTTATTTATTTTCTTCTAACCGTTTGAGAATTGGCCTAAAATCCACCATCCTTTAGGATAAAACCCCTGAAGGAACATGTAATCGAAGGAATAGAACACAATGTGGTACAATCTATGGATAATAAGCTTAAAGTTAACATCATACTAAGCAGGGGAAAATGGAAAATATGTTCTCTGAATCAGGAACAAGATAAGGGCATCCACTCTGCCTACTCTCATTTAATACAAAGACTTTCTTCTCTGTCCTTCTCTCCCATTGGACCTTACACCCTCCCCACCTAGACATGTATTTTTATGCTTGGCACTAGACTCTACTCGGCAGAACCTAAGTTTGGATGATACTGTTCAAGACCAGCAAGATTGAGAGCCTTTCCTGTCTGTGGGAGGGAATGTTTCCCTCCTGGCTCCAGCTGGAGAGGAAGGTAACAAACACCTATGAGTTCTCTGCTGTAATCAAGAGATGATACACACATCTTTTAATTACTTACTGAAAATACAACATACTATAACATTTTGTGTGTTGTAGGATATTCACTTAAGGTATGCAACCACCACTACAAGCAATTTTATATTTTGTATCCTCCTAAAAAGAAACCCAATACATAATAGCCATCAGTGTTTCTTATATATGCATGTTTAAAACACGTAAACATACATGCATCAATGTGCTATATAATCATGTAAATACTTTATATTAATCATTTATATGCATCTTAGTATATGCCTAAGTACACATACATGCAGTTATTCCAATTACCTTTCAAGTCACCTCTATAATTGAAATAAATCCTCTCTCCCATTCCCCATCTCTCCACAGTATACTTCAATAGTAGTCTTCTGATAGTTTGATTCCATGTGCTGTTTAGACACTAAGGCTATTGGCTCTTTTTTCTCCAGAATATACCCTTTGAAATGGAAATAATTCTGTTTCCAAGGTCATCTCTTTCTTCCTTCACTGAACATTAGGTTTAATGATTATATATTCCCCATTTAAGTGTATATCATATGTTGAAGTAGGTTTATTTTGTCAATTTTTATTTGGTTGGTAATTGTCTTGATGATGCTTCCTCTATCATATTTCACTTGAGACAATAATGTTGGCAGAACTGATCAGAGACAGTCTTAAGTACAGTGTTGCCTGTGTTTTCATTCTCCATTGTTAGTAAACAGTATCTGATTTATGATGTGTGTCTGTGGCTGTTACTGTTCAAAATCTACAGGATAAAGAACTGCTTAAGAACAGTTCATCCAATTCATTATAGAATTCAAGAAACTGGTCCTCTTCTTTTCCTATCAGAGAAGTGGGCACCAGTGGCTGTAACAGGTTAATATTATCAGCAAGGTCTACATCTGCGACTAGGAATTTCTGTAGTCCTGGCCTTCTTCGGAGAATTTGCTTAATTTTTGTTTTGGGGGGGGGTCCGGTCGTGGGGCCTGAACTCTGGGCCTGGGCACTGTCCCTCAGCTCTTCAGCTCAAGGCTAGCACTCTACCACTTGAGCCACAGCGCCACTTCTGGCTTTTTTCTTTTTGTTTATGTGGTACTGAGGAATCAAACCCAGAGCCTCAGGCATGCAAGGCAAGCGCTCTACCACTGAGCCACCTTCCCAGCCCGAATTTGCTTGAGTTTTTGCATGCAAAGCCTGTAAGGCGGTGGCTGTGGTATAGGTGAAAGCACACTCCCCTTGAAAACAGAAATGGTAGACTCCTCCTCTGCCTTTGACACTGGACCTGTGCAAAGCTCAATGCAGCTTTGCAAACCAGTTGTGTGTCTGACACTTATTTGCTTCTCTGTAAGATGGCTGTATTACTTTTTTGTTTTTTTTTTAATTTATTTTTAATTTTATTTTTTGGGGGGTCCAGTCGTGGGGACTGAACGCTGGGCCTGCATGCTGTCCCTCAGCTCTTCAGCTCAAGGCTAGCACTCTGCCACTTGAGCCACAGCGCCACTTCCGGCTTTTTTCTTTTTGCTTATGTGGTGCTGAGGAATCGAACCCAGAGCCTCAGGCATGCAAGGCAAGCGCTCTACCACTGAGCCACCTTCCCAGCCCCGTATTACTTTTTTGTGACTATAACAAATATCTGAAACAATTTAAAAGGAGAAGGAGTTTGTTTGCGGTCCATGGTTTTATCATCTTGAAACATCGTGTCAGAAGTTTGGAGTGAGGCTGGGTCTGAGCTGAGGTCGGTAGGACGTCATAGCTATGAGAGTGAGTCTCGGAAGGGCTGCCCTGCTCGGGACAGCCAGGAAGTAGCAAGGAAGGCACCTTTTTGGTGTCTGGTTTGTGGTGCCTCCCAAAAGAGCACCCCTGTCTGGAAATGAATCGTTCCATACTTGAGCCTGCAGTGGACACTTCTGCAAACCATAGCTGTTTGCTTCCCAGTCTTCACCATTAGCTGCCTTGGCAATTGCTAGACCAGGGGTAGCATGTGGCACATATTGGTGCTTTTCCCCTAACAGCGATTGTTAATTAACTGTAGATGATTTCTATACAAAGCAACGTTGCTAATCAGTAGTGCTGTGAAAGAAACAAACTGTGTATCCATGTATCAGCTGTCATATACACATATAGTCTGACTTATCAGAGAAATTTAACACTCAGCTTGACAGAACCCTTGCCCAGAGCAAGCTGAAAATAGCAAGAAAAACCTCTGCTATTTGAGTTCTTTTTTTTTCTACAGTTATGCTATCTTAAGTTTAAAAACTTTTATTTATCTAAGATTGTATAAGTTTACTGAAGTACATTTAGTAAACAAAGAAAATCAGGCATTGCAGAATGCTGGATGAACAGTTTGGTGGCATACTTTCTAGCCTTTTTTCATGTCACTTCAGCCATCATAATCATTCTTAGAGGCCAAGTACACTTGGTGACAGACCCTGTGTGGTCATGGGAGGTAGCAGCTTTCTCAAAGAACACCTGTATCTGGTCCAGGGCTCTTCCTGTTCTGAAGGAAGGCAGGCACTGTGTCTCAGCTCTGTTCCCGGAACACGATTCCTCCCTCCATTCTCAGCCAGTCCGCTTCTCTATGCCCTTCATGTTCTGAGTGAATAGATAGATAGGTTTGCGGGTCTGAATTTCTAATATTGTTTGCTTCCTTTGCCTGTGAATAACATAGCTAGCATAAGACTTTTGATTATAACCATTTTCATCTTTTGTAATATCGATGATTAAACTCGGGGCCTCATGCCTCCTAGGCAAGCATTCTATCATGTGAACCGCCCCCCCTTTCCATTCCATTTGCTTAAGATTTGTTTTTCAGAACGTGTTTTCTACTAATTTTACCCGGGCTGACCTCAAACCACGATCTTGTTACCTCTTCCAAGCTCATTACATGAGTGCAGCCCATAGGAAAGCCTGTGTCAGGGTTAGCTGGCATCAGTATTTGTGATAAACTGTTGTTGATTTGACCTAATTGAACGTACTGCCTTACCCGGCAGGTCAAACTGTGCTGAAAACATCCGCAAGCACATCTTACACACCGGCAAACACGAAGGCGTCAAGATGTACAATTGCCCCAAGTGTGACTACGGCACCAATGTCCCCGTGGAGTTCCGGAACCATCTGAAGGAGCAGCATCCCGACATCGAAAACCCTGACCTCGCCTACCTGCATGCCGGTAAGCTGCTGAAGCCCACGCACGGCTGGTTACAGCAGTCCGGTGCCTCCCCACGCTGCCTAGCTATTTCAAGGGCAGACAGCGTGTAACTTCAAAAGCTCCCCCTAGTCGAAAGACCCGACCATATAGTCACTCTGGGACAACAAAGGAAATCATCACAAACATTCAAAACTGAGCTAAAATAGGAGTTTAGTTTTTTTTTTTTTTCTTTTCGGTTATAGGGCTTGATCTCTGGGTCTGGGTGCTGTCCCTCAGCTCTCCAGCTCAAGGCTAGGCTAGCACTCTACCACTTGAGCCACAGCACCACTTCTGGTTTTCTGGTGGTTAAGTGGAAATAAGAGTCTCATGGACTTTCCTGCCCAGGCTGGCTTTGAACCACAATCCCCAGATCTCAGCCTCCTGAATAGTTAGGATTGCAGGCGTGAGCCACTGGCACTTGGCTTAAATTTTAATTATTTGATTAATAGATAAAACTTAATTTCTTTTTCACCCAATGTTGTGGTTTAAAATGTTAGGACCCATCCTTTTGTATCCCCGTTTCCCCATGAATGTCTAGTAAAGGAGAGGAGGTGATGCAGCATCCCAGGAGTCGGATTGGTTAGTCACCAGGACGTGGGAATGTGCTGGTGATGAGCACAGCCCGTTTTCCTCATTCTTGGATTACAGGTCATATAGGACTGAGGTGTGGGAAGTGCGGAGTAAAACATACTCCATGGCCCTGTTGAATGGACGGGTATCCCTGAGTGCTGGTTCTGAGAAGAAGAATGAAATGGTGGGGATGGCTGTGGGATCTTGCTTTGGGAATTGGCGAGCACTGATGGGATCTTAGAGGAGAGGCCTCGACATGGCACACGCAGCACGGGTGTCAGTGCTGCTTGGAGCCTGGTTCTCTTGGAAGCACATGGCTGGGCAGCGGAGAGCCTCTCAGCCGGCTTCCCCTGCGGTTGTGTGCCTTGGGTGGCTGCCCCACCACACCTGGATTTCTCAGCTGCAAAGTGGTACAAGTGCCAGCGTCAACTGGACACTGAGCAAGGTGAGGCTGTGGACCTTTTCAGACAGGGAGGAGGGGTAGGAACACCCTGGTCTGACCTCCGTCTAGGCAAAAGTGTGAGGCTATGTTGAAGAAGCTGGTAGAGAAGCTGGCAACCTGACTCAAGTGGTAGATGCTTTCCTAGCAAGCATGAAGCCTTGAGTTCAGAACCAGTTGCACTTAATAAAAGTAAAAACAACAGGTAGGATGTGTGATTCAGTAATCTCAATTGTATGCAGGGCTGTTTTGAAAGCAAACAAAAGCAGAGGAATCTGCTTTTTCCATTTGGAGAGATTATACCTGTATGGAATAGAAGCAGTATGGTTTTGGTTGAGATGGTACTTGAAAATTTATCTATCAAAATAGACATTTACTTTTTGTTTCCGAGCAGTGCCATGGTGTGCTGTTTCTTATGGACACCGTTAGGTGTGACTTCCTTGTGGACTTAATGTGGTTCACTCAGGTCCCGCTGTGCTTCTTGGTTCGGTTGGGAATCTCTGGTTGTGCCCTATAAAATGACCCTAGTTCCCCTAGCCTCAGCAGTCTGCTTCTGCCGCCACGGGCCTCACGTTGGAAAATTCCAGCTTCACTCTTCACTCTTTCCTTCTCTTGGGTAAAGTTTCTTTGGAAATACTGGTTTTAGTCTCTGTGGGCCTCAGTTCCGTCCCACTCAGCGTCTGTGGGACCTCAGCGAGATGACACTGTGCACAGTGACTGCATTGGTCACACTTGGTGCATATTTCTTTTCTCTCTGCAGAAGTTATCCCTCCCTCAACTCTGTTCAAGGACTAGAAGCATGCTTTTGGTATATTTTCTTTTTTTAATTTAAATTTTATTTTAAATGTGATGCACAGAGGGACTACTATTAATGTAAGTCAGGTAATGAGTACATTTCTTTTGGAACAGTGTTACATTTCATCCCTTAGAAACTCAGTCTGTATGTTAGGTTGAATAATTTTCAGGCATTTTAGGGTCTTTCTTGCTATCTTTTTGAAAGAGTAATAGAAGTTGACTTACAGCTTCTGTTTATTGTGTTTACAGGAAATGCTCTGAATTATTTCAATCCTTTGGAGTTATTGTTCACTTCTTCATATACATATACACATATATATTTTTTTAATGGAAAGATACTGTACAGAGGGGTTACAGTTACCTGAGCAAGGTAATGAGTCCATTTCCTATCTATCATAATACCCCTGCTTCGTTTTCCCCCCTACTTCTTGTGTCAGGCAAAAAGCCAGTGAAAACAGGGGTTATACCATGGGGAGTCACATACAAAGCAACACCAAAAAAAAATCACATGGTACCTTATACATACGTTAGAAACAATAGCAAGGAAGGAAAAACCACCTGTGTCCCTATCTTGGGGTTCATTTTGCTTAACATCATTTTTTCTGACCTTTTCTGCTTGACCCAGACATGACGTTGGTATAACAAATTGTTTAAATAGGGATACAGATTGACCCATTGTAACAATGTGATGTACAAGACCCTATGTTGAAAACAAACTTTACAATTTAGGGTGGGAGTGGGGGGCGTAGCTGAGGAGGTGGGAGGGAAGGGAAGGTAGGGGAAAACAAAGGAGGAGGCAACCATGCTGGAAAAGAAATGCACTCATTACCTTGATCGTGTAATGTAACCCCTCTGTACAGTATTTCACAATAAAAAACTTAATTTAAAAAAATGAAAGTAGAAAGCAGAAAAAAAATAAAAAGCCAGTGGAAGAGTCTGGGAAGCTGAGTGGGTGGGGCAAGGCCGGCCCGGGCGGTCTCGCTGTCCCAGGGACGTCTGCTGCTTTCTGCTGTTCACGTCGTCTGTCATCTAGCTGGAAATTTTTTTATGCTTGTTATATCTCCTATTAGGAGAGGAATGCCAAGGCTTCTCATTAGAAGTGTAGATTAGTGTGCTTTTCTTTTTAATTCTGTTAATTTGAGCTTTACTTCTTTTGAGGACATTATCACTAGGTACTGAGAGATTTAGGATCTTTCCATATACACACATATAACCTCACCTACAATAAGGATTTACATGTTTTCCATGATAGTGAAAATTCCTTTGCCTCTGTAGCAATACCTCATGCCATAATTGTACAATTTTATATTCGTATAGATTTGTGTAATTTGCTGAGACTGTGTGAGTCTTTTCCATGAATTACTGTCTTTTACTTAACATTGATAGTTAATGTAATTATTGATGTATTTAGAATAGTCAAGACTACTCAAATGCCTCTCTAGTAGCAGGCATAAAGATTATATGTTTACACAATGAAATAGTCTTCCTCGGTAAGAATGAGTGAATTACAATTATTAGCAACAATAGCAAATAAATCTCCCATCATATCCTTAGATATTGACCAAGGCAGACACAAAGATGACCATTCCTATAAATGCAGGTAAAATGAATCGATGGCATTAGAAAGCAGGGTGTGTTGTTCCTGGTGGACACCTATCACTGGAATAGGGCTGTGTGCTGCCTGTTGTATTCTGTTTCTTAATCCCAGTGTTGGGTCACAGTTTTGTTCAGTTTGAAGCAATTCATCCTGTGCTCTCCTGTGACTGTACACTTTTCCGATTATATACTTTCTTTTTTTTTTGATTGGTCATGGGGGCTGAACTCTGGGCCTGGGCACTGTCCCTCAGCTCTTCAGCTCAAAGCTAATGCCCTACTACTTGAGCCATAGTGCCATTTTTTTTCCTGCTTATGTGGTGCTGAGGAATCGAACCCAGGGTCTCATGCATGCGAGGTAAGCACTCTACCATGAGCCAACTTCCCAGCTCCCATTTATGTACTTTAAAAAAAAACACATTACCCTTACTTGTGATTTTCTAAAGAGTTTCATTTAGGTCTATTGTACATCTTATATTTTGAAATTTAAAAATCATATTAATTCCCACATTGACATCACATTTAAAGTGATCAGAATTATTTTGCCTGTTGTATACTACAATTCCATCTAGCTAAGTCCACGCCATCCGAAGAAATTATTTTGATTTGATTGCTACAGTTTTAGTAATTGAATTCCCACCATCTCTTATCCATGAAGTTTGATGTTCATAACTTAAGGAAGAGATAAAAGTATGTGTCTGTGTTCATAATACAACTGAGTCTCAGTATGACATCGTGCACAGTTCCCTTCAGTGGTTATTACAGATTGCTGTAATATAACCCAAAGAAAGGAGGACGTGGAGATGGGGAAAGGAGGAGGAGGGACAAGAAGATCGCCGACTACAGGTGGTGCTTGAGAAGAAAGACGTCCTTCACATCAGCCACATGAGACTTTCACCATTGCCTTTGCCATTCAGAGACCCTATGTCTTGCTGCTGAAGTTGTTCTCAGTGTTCATGGATCGGCTCTGCCTGGAGCACTCCTTCTTGTGGCCAAGGTTGTGAGGCTGGTTTCCTTGTTTCACATTTCTCCCCGCGGAGCTGGGTCTTGATATGCAGTACCTGTTCCTATGTTTCCCTGAATTCTCTTTGGAGGAGAAATTAAGCATTTAAGCACGGCATGGTGTTCTGCTTAATTTTGTGTGTGTTTCTAGCCCATACTTTTGTGTCATATTTAAATTGATTTTGTGTTGGTCCTTTCTTAGATATTAAGACATAATCATTTAAAAATGTACATTTGATTATTACCACTACAGAGTGATAGCACATGAATCTGTCATGTTCTCCTGACAGATTGGGAGTTTCATGTTCCCTAAGATAATCAACTTTTATATTTTTAATAGCATTTTTTCATTGTATTGCATAGAATTTGCCTCTGATTAGTTACAAGTTTGCAAGTATGAAAAGTTTCACTTATTTTTCTTCTAAAGGGACCTAATTTAGTACCATTCAAGCTATTCTTACTTGATTACACTTATTCCTATCTAAGTTCATACTTAAGCATATTAATTTTTTTTTCAGTCATGGGGCTTGAACTCTGGGCCTGGGCACTGTCCCTCAGCTCTACTGCTGAAGGCCATCTACCA